CAGATGTTCGAAATTCAGTCAAGAGATGTAAGGTTCATTAATGAAGTACTTATTTCTGTAGCGACCAGCTGATGACATTGAAAGAGGTTGGTGACATAATGGATTAGGCCACGAAATCGTACTTTCATAATTTGAAAGATCTTGTCTAAAGGCGTAACCTGAAGAAAGAAATTCAGGTAATACTGTTAAACGCCCGCTTCGTTGTATAGGTTAACATTAAGACAACATGTAGTAATCACAACATTGTTTTTATTTCTAGGCAAATGGAAAAGATAACAGGGGATATAACAGTGGCAGTTATGTAAGCAAACTTTTCTAAACGTAAATGCTGAGAATGTGATGAACACAATGTTTCATCAATTGATATTTTATTTTGTATATTTACAGGGAGCTACCAGTGGACGGATTTGCAGTGACGTTGTACTACAGTTTCCAAATATAATTTCCAAATTTAAGCTCAAAAAATTGCCACTATGTGCTAAATTAAGTCTTTTTGTTCTGAAGTAGAGCTAGTCTGTACTGAAAATGAGCTGGAAGGGCTTAAATAAAGCTGATAAGTAAAACCAGTAGGTTCTGATCTACTCCTGAAATTGTCTAGAAAAAGAACATGGTGTTGAATTTGTGTCAGTTACGCTGAAAACCAGAACTGAGTTCTAGACCGTGACATTAAAGAGTTTATTTAAGAACAGATTCCGAATTTACTTACTATAGAACGTTGGAATTATTTCAGAATTAGTGAGATTTAATTCAGCATTATGGTAAGCTTGGGAGGAGCAGAACCTGGACTAGAAGGGCTGCAATAAAGCTGATAAGCTACTTCTGAAAATGCGTAGAATAAGAACAAGGTGCTGAACTGGTGCCAGTCATGATAATAAACCAGCACACAGTTCCACCTTAAGCAAATAATCCGTAACTGTTCTGCCACTGTTTGATCCAACAATGGCAGAACAGTTAAGGCGTTTAATTACTGAGGAATGTTACTATATTACCATAGTATACGTGAATTGGCTCAATGATTGCAGATTTACCATAATCCTTAACTACCAACATAAAAACTGGGAACTGCAGGCTAAAAATAAACGTCATAGTAGCATGCAGTGACACAAAACTGACCTACCTACTCCAAAACAAGCAAAACGTTCAAAAAACCTTTAAAATTTAATGGAAAACGAATTCACGAAAACATATAACCAGCAGACGCAGGAACGCATCATGACCTTGAAACTGGCTATAGCGTCTTTCGATTATATGGCACGTCCCCTATTTGAAATGGCGCCGCCTGTTTCATCTTGTCGGCATTTGTGCGGTTTATTTGACTGGAGTTGGTGCAAGCTTGTGTTATTTTGCCTAGGCAAATGCAGATGACACTATTTCGGTGCCTATTTGGCTCTTCTTGGGTGAATTTTTATGGAATTTGTCGTTTCATATTGTTCTTAAGTGTGAAAGTACTGTTCGTGCGGGAGGACGCCTAAACACATGGTTCATGCAATGATTATTTTGTATGCCGAGTAGGCTTCGCATGCATTCCGACGATCAGCTTTAGAAAAATTTCTTCGTAGTGTGCTAGCATCCTGTACCTGGTTGTCGCAGATATGTAGGAGATGGATCGAGGATACATTGAGGAGGCCGTCGAATGACATCCGGCATAATGCAGGTCATCGCTCGAGTGGAATCCCAGTGGAAAGCGACGAGTAAGTAGTCCTAGTGTGACATGGAGGAGATCGTGCGAGAAGGAGATGAGAGATTACGACCTATCCTGGACCCATCTGAAGAGGACGTCAGAAACTAGAACAAAGTGGAGATGTGTTGGTGAAGCTGCATGTTCCACTCGGAACCCAAGGGAATAATAATAATCCTTCTAAGGTTAATACTCTTAATTTCTCTCACCGCGAATATCAGCAAGTCCTTGAAGACCGGATATAATCGGTCCCCGACCATGTTACTTCAGTCGTTGTACATTTACTGTTGTTTCAGTTTCCACTCGTACATTTCTTGTATGAAACAGGAACCCATAATGAAAAGCCTACAGAAGCCTGGGCACTTACAATCACTGTGAAAAGTGTTGCGTCCTGACACAAAATTTCACTTTGCTGTAGGTGTGCATGGCTGAAACAATTTCGTAGTCACACGTCAATATGGAAAGTTGTCGCATGCCCGTCTTCGTTCGCCTCCTAGGGTTAAAAACTCTCTGCATCTTAGTAGATTTCCAAATGGAGATACCCCGCAGTGCCCCTCACACAGAACCACTTACAGCACTATGAGAATAAATCTTATTATTGTCATTAAATTTAACCAACTTGAAAATCCCCATTCAGTCATATTGAAGAAAAGAAGGCGTTCAGTGAAGAGACTCTTTTCGGCGAATTCATTCGCTGAGCTGTACAATCACATTTATACACAATTTTGTTTGTGTGTGTACATTCGATTTATGAGGTTTAGATAATTACGTAATATAAGTATTATTTGGCTTGGAAACAAACGTTAATTAGATTTTTTTATAAAAATGATACAGTTGTATTATACTCTACCCCCACCCTTATTTAATTTTAACCACCACTCATTAACACTGTTGCCAACCTGACCTACTCTGAATTCTACTCAATTGTATTACGTCATCCAATTCATTTAATCAATTTTATTCTATTTTCTATCTAATTAACGTTTGTTTCCAAACCAAATAATATTTATATTACGCAATTATCTAAACTTTATTAAATTTAACGCTAAAGTATGCAGACAACACCAGATTAACTCACCACTCAATAAATAAAATTCGATGTCGGTATAACGATCCATTACCTGAAAGAACTGTTACTACGATGCACCTTCAACGTATACTTTAGTTTCAACAAGGAAATATACAGGCAAGTAGATGGGGTAGGAATGGGTTCTCCCTTAGGACCCCTATTAGCCGACTGCTTTTTGGCTAGCTTAGAAAACAACCCCTTATCATCAACTATCAACGACCTCCATCGCTACAAGAGATACATCGATGATACTTTCACTATTTGTGATGAGAATTGTGATTTAAAAAACCTACTTCAAATCTTCAATAACGCCCACCCAAACATCGACTTTACTCTTGAAGCTGAATCCAACGGAATGTTCCACTTCCTCGACGTCCAGCTGACAAGAAACGCCAACAACTCTCTGAAAAGATCCATATACAAAAGGCCTACTTGGAATGGACAATTCATCAACTTTCAAAGCTTCGTGCCCCTAAGCAGAAAGAGGAACCTGATATAGGCTCTTTCCTAGAGGATTCGGAAGATACGCAGTGAGGAATCGATTGGATAAGAACTGCATAATCTCCGAAAAACCCTGATGGAAAAAGGGTTCCCGCCCAGTTCATAGACAAAAATCTCAAATCTAAGAAGACTTCAGAACAAGTCCAATCCGTTCCAAAGAAAATACTTCTGCTTAATCTAGAATTCAAAGGTGATATTGAAGCAGAAATCCTTCGCAACCGCCTCTGCAAATCTCTTAGGAAAACATACTTCGCCGCGAGCCTACGACTGACGTTTTCTTGCAAGAAACTGTTCAGCCAGAACGTGAAAGACAAGCCGTCGCATTGGGCCACCTCAACGTGCACATACCAGTTTACTTGCTCTTGTGGAGCTGAGTACATCGGCCGTGCCATGCGCCGACTTGGAAAACGCGCTGGCGAACACTACCCAGCCTGGCCAGTAAAAGGAGACCAAAAACGTGTACAGAGTTCAGTGACAGAGTATCTGGTCAACTTCAGAACATTGAGTGCCTTTCGAAAAATCCTTCAAAGTAATATACAAGATTCAATCAAACCTATCAAAGGGAGTCAAATCAAGACATCTGGGCATAGCTTAGGCGCTAGCTATCCGAAAGCTCAAACCCACACTTTGTATCCAAAAGAATTACGTCCAACCCCTCTCCCTGCCATGGCCGTCATAAACAGGTAAAAATTTTTTTAGTAATGACAATCTCATCGCCCTTCTTATCTAAACTTCCTGTTTATTCATGTTATTTTAAGTTTTTCTTAATCCCTGTCTACACTACCATACTTTCATATCCACTCTTCCTGTTTATTTTGTCATTTTACTATTTCTACATATTTAATCCCTGACTGCATAAACAATTATTCATCATATTAATTTTTTATCCAAACATCCTGTATATTTTGTTATTTCTACATGTCTAACCCCCAACTGCACAATGTCAATCTTCTTTGTTATTATAATGCTAGTTTGTTCGAGTTTTATCCGCCTCCCCCTGTTTATTATGGCATTCTAATTCTTAATTGTAGTTTTTATTTATTTGACCCTTAACCGGAAATTATTCTGGAACTTTCCCATCCATTTGATATAAATACACGAATGTACAGCCTAGATGATGACTTCGTCGAAAAGAAAATTTTCTTCGCTGCAATTGTCTTTTTATTAACTCCTATGACCCAATGTGTATATTCCGTGAAATAAAATTCTCTTTCGCCAACGGATGCTTTGGGTGCCTTAATCCTTGTTTTGCAGGTCAAGAACGTAGCTAGACTCCTCCTTTGTGCAGGTGGCACATCTTCATAGTTCAAAGATCAGCCACATGAGCCAGATAAATCCTGAAATGTTTCCCCTAAATAAGTTCAAGTTTCCAGTAGGGCGTGATGCGCACATGTCTAACTCAACATATTGGTGCATCTCATCACTTCCACAATTGAAACTGTCCCAATGTATTCAAAGTTCACCAGTGTACTAGTTCTGTTAGCAAAATTTGGTTTATTCTCTGATTTATCTACATCTTAATTCTCGTTTTTAGCAATTAACCATTACTTTTTCGCCACACTCATTCTGAATTGGACTATGCCTGATGTATAAAAGTTACTGAAATCGTCTTTTTGTTTGCTAGTAGTGAGGGGAGAGGGTTAAGTGTGCTAGTTTATTCTAGTTCTTGACTCATCCCTTCAGTGAGTACTGTACAATATTTTTTATGTTTTCTGGCGGTATTATAAATCGACACGGAAACAAAATATTAGCGTTAATTTGAATGTAGTGGATTCAGTAGGGATGAGATTTCATCGAGAAAGTGAGGACAGCACTGAGTTGGTACATTTCGGAGATCAAATAACACTGTATTCTAATGATAAGAATGGTGGGTTGCTTTGTATGGAGGGGTAGGTTGCGTGTATGCTTTTATTTATGAGCACAACATATAGTCAAATTAGTAACAAACCTAGCGTTATACGTATAAACAGTGAGCAGTTGACTGCATCAGCTTTGACAAGAGGTAGTTCTATGACGCAGTTACTAGTCTTTCAGATTCTCGCTTCTTTATCTTCGCTATGCAGAGAAATATATTTCATGACTGTTTCCGAAAAGAAGAAACTAACTTTGGTGCAGAATATAATTTAGTAAGCTTGATTTCGAAGCTTTCCTACTTTTAAAAGGAGGATTTCAGACATGATAATGAGCAAAACAGTAAATTACAGAGACGTCTAAGTGAATCTGTGGTGTATTATGGAAGCATTATTGAGGTAAATGGTTTTGGTTATTAATTTTTTTCATGCGTGTGTGTTTTGGGAAAAACGTCATGATGAAGAAGCTCGTCTTTTAAAAAATTTCAGCAAATTTACAAGTTTCTACTCGAAATAAAAGCTGTCAAGTCTGTTGTAGCAGGATATACCTTGAACTAAGAAAGTTTCATTGACAGGCCATTTTTGAGAAATCGAACGTTTAACTCAGCAAGAAACATGACAGCCCTCAAAGACCGTTAGGATGTTATAAAAAACAAGTCTTATGTGACAGTCACTTCCCTCACACTTTGAATTTTAAACAGAAGTGCTAGTGTTGTTTTTTGAAGACATTTTAACTCTGTTTGGTCTAATATTAATATTTCGTGTTTTACTATCATATTTGTTTTTTTCCTTCACATTCTCCAGTGGAACATTGGGCTTCAAGCTAGTAGCTTGAGGTTTCTGTAGCCCAACCTTTCCTCTTCACCAGCATTATTTCTGGCTTAACGAGGTAAAGGAGTGCATCGGCCGGGGATCGAACCCCGGACCATATACATGGTCGGCGAGCGTCCTAACCGCTATGCCACCGACGCATCATATATGTTGTCAACCTCAAATACTCATCATCGGTTTATTTTGCGCTGTTCTTATGCACAGGACAATCATAAATGAGAACCTGAGTGCTAAAAGTTTGCATCAGCATACTGACTCATCCTTAAATACTCCTGATATCCTTACTAAGGCATGTTACTTCCGAAAAGTTTGGATTACTCCAATATGTGGTACAGACTTGCTGTTATATAAACTAAATGTGAATGGAATTCTTCGAATAAATGCTCCTTTAAGAAATCATTTTCATGCCTTTATGGGTCTGCTTATAAAATTACACTTGTCTTATGTCTTTACTTAACTTTTACTTGTGCATTCAAAAATATGTGACACTGAAGCCTTCAGGTTTCATTGATTTGCACTTTATCGAGAGCTTTTTTAAGACTTAGTCCAGAAACTTCAGGTTTCTGTTTTCCACGCACAGAGTAAGACTTATATTTTAAGTGAAATTCAGCTTCTGGTGGCCAAATCCCTCAATTTAATTTGAGAGTTTAATTATTCCGAGTAAATGACATTTTTGTGTTAATCTGTAAGCCAAAAGTGGAAGTAACTGATCAAATTCTAAACAGCCTAATCACAATACTGTTTGTCCCTTTTCCATTAACACTTACAGGATGTTTTGGATAGAAACTTTGGAGTCTAAGTTAATTTTACCAGTACAAATCTCTGCCTGTCAAGTCAAGGTATCGGCCCTGTTGAAAATTGCTCCCATTTTTTAACGACAGCATACGAAACGCAATGCACCATGAAAGTGTATGGAGTTTTGGGCTTTGTAATTCACTGTTTCCTATAGATTTGTTTTAGTTTAACATGTCAGAATGACCAAACACAGATAGAATTTAGTTCTGCTCATTAGACAAACAAAATTCCTAAAAAAACACATAAGATTTTTTTGCAGTTTTTGATATTGTCAAGCAGATTTTTTGAGCTGGGAAGATATTTAGCTTATTATAGAAGGCAGAAGCGTCTTAATATGAGTCACAAATCACCCTGACATTTTTATCCAGTTAGTGCTGATTGCTGTATATGTAACATGTTTTCATCAAGAGTCAGGTACACTGCATGGGAATGTGGCTTACTGTAATTTTTCCACTTCGAGACATCACCCTTTATGGTGAAGGATTTTAACGGTTTGCTGAAGGAAATAAATCACTTCATGAAGCTTTGAATATTCACCATTTTAGATGACTGAGATATGTTTTACGTATATTAATGCAGTATCTACTCTAAAGCCTAATGTTGAATAAATTAGGATTGAGTTTAAAAATTTAAAGAGTTAAGACTCGATATCAGGCAATGAAGTTTATAAAGGTTGTGCCAATTCACGTGAACGAAAGTGGGTTTCCAGGTTAGCGTAAACAAGAAGACGGATGGATGGTGCCGAAAAAGTGATTTCAGTGGGACTGATATACTTATACTAGATTTGCATTCACCTCTTTTGTCTACTTTTGTGAGCTACATGGAGAGAGTGTGGCAACTTGAATTGCTGTACTTCTGTACAGAGTTGAAACTCATTCAGTCATCCACTTTTTAACATTCATAGACGCCATTTCACCTCTGTAGTTTAACAGCATGAGTTTGATGAGGCAGTTAAGTCAGTTTAGAGAAAGGCTGCTATTTAATTATTAAATGTTATGCTTGTAATTTGGTTCTTTCGCTAAAACAGATTTATGTGGCAATTCTATTTTGGTGGATGATCAAGACTATACAGTTAGAAAATATGTTGACATTTTACTTTATAATATCGCTAGTTATGTCACCTCATAAAATATTTCAAACCCTAATAGAAAAAGTCATCTGATTAAAAAAACAACAACAGTAAGATGACGTGGAAATGAATTTCCGTGTAATTAGCAGACGTTTCTCTAGTATACCTTGTCATTCATTCTCTAAGTGATGCCATTATCACCTTATGAAGTGGTTGAGGGGCCACTGAAAAGAAGCTCTGATTTACCTATTTCTTATGCTTTTTAGAATTGTTCAGCATGATATATCTGAGATATGCCAATGAGATTAATGTTATTCAGAGATTACAACCTGTGTTAACTTGTATGAAAGCCAGAAATGTTATCATTAAGCTAATTTGGTACAGATATACAGTCCTATCTGTGGAGTCGCAGCAGAATGGGGAATATTCTAGATTGATAATAGGAATTTAGTCGACATCTGACAACAATTAACTGGTTAATTACTATTTATTAACTAGCATACTTTCAACTTTTGGTTTGCAGGGATTTGATTGGTTACAGATCTGATCGTGGGTTGATATCAATTAGAGAGCCATTGGAAAACCTGACAGTACAGGATAGCCGTTTCGTCCGAGTTAGGGACTCTTAAGTGAGTAAGTGACTTCTTACCTGACTTAGTGGATCCCATTGAGCTCGAACCTTGTTGGTGGGTACGTATTGGCGAAGAGTCCTAAACTAGGACAGGAAAATTGTCCAGTATTCCGTGATGATTTTCAATGGTTCTCTAACCGATGTCAACTCGTTATCAAACCTGTAATACATTTCCACCCAACATTTTCTTGCTGAAGTCAATTTCTTCTATTACTAAACACCATTAGTAACTTGACATTACCTGTCACAGTCACATCACTTCGTCTAAGAGGGGATGTTCATTCCTTTTCACTTGTGCTCTATTTTAAATTTAGCCTCGTTATTTGTAAATATGGTAAATAAATGCACCTGGGTCAATGTGGTTTACTAGTTAGAGGACGAGATTCATTTAAGATATGAATACATTTTTAACATGGTGAACTTGATATCCGCTCTAAACTTTTTAGGCGTATATTCACACCTTTTAGCATTGCCGAAAACTGACAGCTACTTTGATCACTCAATATTCTAATTCAGATTCCGCTACGATTTTGAAAGCTTTAGTGTGGTTTATATCATGTGACCGTTGATCTAGATGACCGATGTCTAAATACATATAAGCACATTAATAAATTGTCCTGGTGTAATTGTCATATTTATCAGAAATATCTTCATGCACACAGAGAGCATTTTGATTAGTATTTTCGATTTATTCTATCCTTACAAGTAAGATGAACTATTTCATATTAGATTAGTTTAGTTGATTAACACACAATGACACGGTGGTGATAAGTGGATGACGTTTTGAGCACAATTTACTGCTCACACTCATATCAATGTATTCACAAGACTTTCTAACTTTCTTGAAATGGCTTTATTCTCTTCTGTCGTTTATTTCAGTTTTACAAATATCTCGGGTTGGTGCTGGTTTGTTTCCATTACATGTGTTTGGTATTGATTCGCTGGACAAAGTTTCAATGATTAATCTCTCTCTCTCCTCCACCTAACTAAACTACTTTCTAATGCTTTCCCCATATCCTACCCTATTATGTGATTAAATGCAATGCCTTAGTCTTTTCTAGACTGGATAACTTAGCAGGGCGTTTCATTCTGGATCTAGTTGGACTCCTGTGTTCTGATAATCTAATTGACCTTGATCTACTAGTTTGACCTGTGTTACTGACTTCATAGTCATTACATGGTATTAAGTAAATTATATTATTCTTCTTATTTAGCCCTGTTGGACCCTTAAACCGAGAAAGTTTGTCTTTAAGTGAGTTATGAAGTCGTTTGAATGCACTGGTATTATGATGAGCAACAGTAAATTGTGCTGCAAATATCGTCTAGAGAGTATCCTACCGATAAGGCCTATGTATTTAGCTCCCCTGGAGCAAGTGAACTGGTGACATGCACATGGATGCTGCCAGCGGTGGAATATTGTCTTCTATGTTTTGAAGAATGACAGGTTGTGTGGAGAAGGTGAGAAGTAAACATGCATTGAAGAATGTTCTTAGAAGTGCTCTCGACATTCCGGTTGGAAGAATTTCTGCTGTCACCCATCAGTTTAACATTTACAACTAACTCTTTCTTTGGTACTCCTGTCTTATATTCCTCTTATTCATCCTGTCTTATTCATCAAAATCAATATGCACCGTGATGGTGAGCTACCTAGAATGGTGACCGCATTGCAAATCTGACTGACTGATATAATTCAGTCTGCACCGAAGAAAGGACTAGACACCTCACACTAGTTACTAGTGTTCGATCAGACTACCCACTACAGTCCTCCAGGAGGTCAATTGCGAGCCAGCTCAGTGGTAACGTCTCTGACGACTGTAGCATTTACTGGGTGACGCGGGTTCGAATCTCAGAAGCAGGGACATGAGTTCCTTCAAGGCAGTTGCAGATACGCCTTGCTGACTGGTGAGTGCCAACTAGCACGAAACTTAGGTGCAGGCAAGGCTTCCTGTGGCCGATTGCCTTCAACTATCTAATATCATCAAAAATTCCATGCCTGTTGATGGATTTCAGTGGGTAGCCATTCGAAAACACTCTAGTTCTGTAACTTAATGTATCTTCCATGCATATGCAACTGATTCTTGTGAGAAGAGATTTGATGAGGTTTCTTTTTCTACTTAATGGAATAAAGCTGTAGTTCTTTGTCGCAAGTTATAATGTAATAAAAAATAATGAAAATATTACTGAACTTTTAGCTTATTCATGTAAAGTCGAATAAAATTCTTCGAGCGAAAAATGAGATATCACCGCAATTTAAGAATGCTTCTGTTCGATTTACATTGGAAGAATACGAAGGTGATGAATCATGGTTTATAATTCAACCATTATACAAGCATAAACAGTTGGGTGATCCTGTAAGTTTTTGGTTAAATATACGTATTAAACTATTACTATTATTATTGTCATCACCTTTGACGTTGCATCACAAAACTTAGGTTCAAGTGCTAAGATTTGCATTTGATGATGACTTCGCAGAATAGAAAATTTTCTTCACTGCAACTGTCTTCTTAATAACTCCTATGACCCAATGTGTATATTCCGTGATTTGAAGAAAAGCAAGGACCGTTTGACGGTAAAGGGACTGAACAAGTTTCTACGTTTGTCCGTCAAGCTTGCTGAGGCGAACGCAAAGATTTTCTTCTTGGAGAATTGTCTCGAGAAACATGAATATCCCAAAGTATTTTGGAAGCATCTCAGACGAAATCACATATCCCCTAACTCACGTACACTGAAACGACACACTCTGAATCACATCGATGCAGTGCGATCAAGACTACCTGAGCTAGAGCAGAATATCTCAAAAATCTCACACGTCGTCTATGAGTTATCTGAAGACGAAAGAACATCATTCGAAAACTACTCCAATACGGTTACAAAGAAAAGAACAGATGATGTTATAATGAAACTAAACCAAAGCCTAAAGTCCGTTACAAAAGAAACCGTCTTTCCTACTTGTCCAGAAAAATACGTGTACAATTATTCTGATGTTCCACTATCTCCAATTCAAATGCAAATCTTAGCATTTGAACCTAAGTTTTGTGATGCAGCATCAAAAGTGAATGAACTGAACATGAAAGTCCAATTCGAGAATTTAATCGACCAGACGAAAGATCTGGTCCCAATCTCATATTATTATTGTCATTATTCGTGATTTTAGCGTGAGCACCAGCCAGTTTTATGGGCGAGTATTCGTACTCGCACCAAACTTGGTGGACCCCACCAGTCACGACTTCTCACTAGAACTCCATGAAACTTTGTCATGTAGCCAAGTTCTCTTAATTGGTTTGAACAAAGAAAGTACGAACATATTTACAGGCAGGATGATTATAAGAGCTCATTTTATCTCGTCAACTCTCATCAACTGCATACATCATAAATAAATCAACTATATGCTACAAAATGGTGTCTGAACATACTTTCTTCACAGTGACTTCAAGTTATAGATAGAAAGCACAGGCAACATGATTTCAAAGATGATGTAAGTAGACAATTATTTAGAGACATACAGTGGAAATTAGTCAGACATTCAAAATAATCAATACACAAAGAAAAGCAGACTCACTTCGGTTCACAGAAACCGCTGACATCAAAAGATTTCAACTCAATCTATGCGATCAAAAAGATAGTGTGACTAATCTCTCACTACCCTACCTGGTCACCATAATTGTTTTGTTCTGTTGCGTAACATTCCACTCAATCTTGATTTTGATTTTCACTCACTGACTGAGTTGAATTCACTGTTAAGGTTTCAAATCTACTAAATTAAATTATTTTATCTATTTCATAATTTTACTTCACTATTCATCTCCACTCGCCTGAACTCTCCACCATAATATGCATAAATTCAGACTGTTGTTCTATCTTGTATTTTGTCTCTAGTCCATCCTTGCTTCCAAGCCAAATCTGAAGTCTACTCCCTTGTCTAATTACTATATAAATTTTCAAGAATTTGGTTTGTAAGGATTAGATTTGTTTATACGAGTTTGACCACGGATTGATATCAGTTAGAGAACCATTGAAAACCAGCCAGTGAGTACTAGACAGCTGTTTCATCCTAGTTTGAGAATCATCGACGTTCGAACCCAGGACCTTCCGGTTACAAGACAAGCTGGCTCGTATACCATTCAGTCACTGGGACCCGATTCAATGACCAACCCATGAATTCTAACTTCTACCAATTTGTGATTTAACGTGACCACAAACCAGCGTCATCGGTGGGAACTCCATCCAAACTCTTGAAAATTAATCTGATGCTCGCCAGTGACTTGCTACAGGACAGAGTTTCCTGAAGTTCTAGTGAGAAGTCGTGACCAGTGAGGTCCATCCAGTCAAGTGTGAGGATGGAGTTACCACCGATGACATTGGTTGGTTGTTGGCTGGTAGCGCTAAATCATGAATTGGTAGAAGTTAGAATTCATGGGCTCGCCAATGAATCGCATCCCAGTGGCTGAATGGAATATGAGCCATCTTGTCTTGTAACCGGAAGTGTCCTGGATTCCAGCCCCTGTGGTGTGTGCCTACTTCCGATGTTTCGCAAACTAGAATGAAACAGCTGTTCAGTACTCTAGAGCTGGTTTTCAATGGTTGTCTAACTGATATCAATCCGTGGTCAAACTCGTATATACTATATAAATAGTTATTGTTTTAACACCGAATAATTGTCTACTTACATCATCTTTGAAATCATATTGCTTATACTCTCTATCTATAACTTGAAATCTTTGAAAAAGTATGTTCAGACACCATTTTGTAACATATAATTGATTTATATATGATGTATGCAGTTGAAGAGAGTTGACGAAATCAAATGAGCTCGTATTATATCCTGTCTGTAAGTATGTTCATTCTTTCTTTATTCAAAGAATAATTTTTTTTCAAGAGTTAATTTGTAGGGATTTGATTTGTTAAAAGTCTCATCGTGGAGGGATATCATTTAATGAACCATTGTAAACCATCAGGAAGGGCTGGACAACTATTTTGTCCTGGTTTGGGACTTTTTCACGGCGTGCACCTACGGAGGTTCGAAACCATGACCTTAATAGGCGTTTGACTAGTTCATTACCTGTCAGAGATTCTTGTTACTTATTCTTTTTCACCGACCGGCCTTTTAATCTTCACTATCGAGCCAGAGAAGGCAGCTTTTGATACAAGTCTGAAGCAGTCTGTTGGAAATGCTTTAGGTGACCAATATAGAACCAGTAGAGAAGCACTGACTAACTTGACGTTCGGAATCTTGTTCACCGTGCACAATACGTAAGATTTCCATACTGATTTCAGAGATTAGTGAAAGTCTGTCTTGCTTTCCCACTCCTGTATGGCTTTGACATCCTCATCAGTGTCAGCTGCCTATAACTGAAACGATGCTGCCAAGTTGAGGTAAGTGAAAAAAGTGACTTCCTTCAGCTTTCTTCCTCTGATGGTGGATTGGTGCTTGTTGTTGTTGTTGGTGGTGTCTGTAGTCGGTTATCTTCATCACCTCTATCGTCTCTATGTTCGCTGGAAGTCCTAAGGGTCAGTTGCGATATAGGCTGACATTATTACGCTCTCTACCAAGAGGAATATATATATATATATGGTGTTAAAACAAAAACTATTTATATAGAATATACGAGTTCGAACGCGGATTGATATCATTTGGAGAACCAATGACAACTAACACTGGAGTACTGGACAGCTGTTTCATCCTAGTTTGGGAAACATCTGCAGTACGCACCCACCATCAGGGTTCGAACCCAGGACCTTCCGATTAAAGACAAGCTCGTATACCATTCAGCCACTGGGACAGAGTTTCCTGGAGTTCTAGTGAGAAATTGTAACCAGTGAGGTCCATCCAGTCGAGTGTGAGGATGGAGTTCCCACCGATGAAATTGGTTGATTGTAGCCCTAAATCACAAAATGGTGGAACTTAGAATTCATGGGCTCGCCAATGAATCGAGTTCCAGTGACTGAATGGCATAGTATTATACAAGTTATTGTCTTTCTTTCTCTCTCTCTAGGTTGTAATTGGTGATAAAGTGATTATCTTTGCTAGTCGTGCTGGTTGTGCTCTTAATATCGATCAGCTCAATCCAAATCTCACTTATACTACTACTACTACTACTACTAACGACAACAGTAGTACTAAGCAACACAAATTATTAACAAATGGTTGTCATCAAAATGTCAGTAATCGTCATCAGCAGAATAATAACAGCAATAATAGTAATAATAATAACAATACCAGTAATAATACAAGTTGGCAAATCAACGTCTACTTAGGTTATCAGGATAATTTGGAACATATACTAAAAGGGGTAAGTAATCAGTGGTTTTTGAGTTACTTTTCTGTATTTAAGAAAAAAATTTGTTTTTACTGACTGACTGAGTGATTACCATGCGAATGTACTGTGTATCTATCACATTTGCTATTATTTGAAGACAATGAACGCTAGTTGGAAATGCTATACACTTCATAATTAACAGGCTATTGGTTTATAGAAAACAGAAACAGTAGCTCAGTGGTAACGTCTCTGACTGCTGGCAGCACTGGGTGACGCGGGTTCGAATCTCAGAAGGAGGGACATGAGTTCCTTCAAGGCAGTTGCAGATATGCCTTACTGACTGGTGAGTGCCAACTAGCACAAAACCTAGGTCCAGGCAAGGCTTCCTGTGGCCGATTGCCTCCAAGTATCTAATATCACAGAAACATATATTACTGGGATGACTTTTATGCATAATAACAGCCTTTAACCGACTGTAATATTACTTACTGTGTGGTGATTATCTTTGAGACATTTCAGTGCCTCTTAATGTTCGTTAGACAAAACGCTCGATTGCGGGGTTAGGGATAAAAGATACTAATTAGGAATGTCAACGAATTCAGCGTTGAATCACCCACTTCTGTCTTCCCTTCTTTTTGGTTTAAGATCTGTCAGCTGACTTACCGTGTCAAAGGGCTTAATTAAAGAGTAATTAAATGAAGGTTCAGATATAGTGAAGAAGATTTGTAGCTCAGGTGGGTGATTTTGATGTGGTTGTGTTCTCTGAGATGAATAGTTAATTTGCGAAGCTTTCATCGCCCTGCTAGGTAACATCTTCAAAGCGTACTTCAATTTGAAGTAAGCTTTTAGATTTCTCCACGAGTTTATTAGTCATCTCTCCTGGTGGCCTTGAACGTGATTGGCTCCTTTTGTGTGTTTTCACATCCCCTAGGTCACTTGTATTGGAACTGATTGCTTCCTTGACTTGAACTTTGACCCTTTGTGTGTGAGATTTCCTTCTTATCGATTGGTAAATTTTATCTGTCTTGATGTGTGTATTGATTGACGATTCAGTGGAAATACCAGGCTTCTAAAACTTCTCTAGCATTTTTGTTGTTTCCTCTGTCTAATATTTGAACATTGTCCCAATCGAATTGATGCCTGTGGTTGTCTGTATGTAGTGATATGAGGGAGTGTCTGTCATATCTTTTGATGGCTAGCTTATGTTCGTAGATACGAAGACGAAGGGGACGTCCACTTTGGACAATGTAGTGTTTTTCGCAGTTGTTACAATTTATTTTGTAGTTGATGTTGGTTTTATCTTCTTTCGTTGTTGAGCCTTTCGGTTGACATAGAACTGAGTGAAGTGATTTTGTTGGTTTGTGTGTGACGTCAATTCCTAAAGGTTTGACGTGTCTTGTAGTGATTTCTGATATATCCTTTATACATGGCAGAGCGACTCTCTTTGTGCTTTCCTTGGGGGCTTTTGGTTTGATAGGTTGGCTTGGGGATATATGTCTTTTGATGAAATTCCGTGGATATCCATTCTTTTGGAAGACGTCCATGAGATATCTTTCTTCAATTTTTCTTAAGGTGGGAGTGCTGCAATGAGTCCTGGCTGGCTCTCTTGAATAGTGTTTGTATACAATTCCTTTTGTGTGTTATTGGATTGTTGCTGTTATAATTCAGTATTTGGTCTGTGTGAGTTGATTTTCTATAAACTTGAGTTTCTAATTCTCCTGTGGTTGTTCGCTTGACTAAGACGTCCACAAATGGGATTTTGTTCTCGGATTCCTCTTCTCTTGTGAATTTGATGTCGTTGAATACGTTGTTCGCCCGAAAATTCAAACCAAAATATTTTAAGTCGAATTCAATGTGAAGAACACTTACTTAGACTTAAGTTTCATATCGAAATAAAGTTTACCAACAGAATTATCAATGAAGCACAATTTGAGAATTTATTGACTCAACTGGTAGATCGTAAACCAAAAATGTGAAGATGGGAAAGTGTTGGTTCAAAGCTAATTTGGTTGACATTACTAGTCAATATGTTGGATCACCAACCCAAAAAATCCAGCGTGTTGTCATAAAGATGCCAGGAAGCACCGAAAACATCTCTCACATAGTAATATTACTATCAGATGTGGGTTCGAGTGTTGTTATGATGTGAACAAAGAAGACCACATTGCGAAGATGAACTCGAACCTATAAAAATCTTCAAAAACTCAAAAGTGATAAGTGTCAAGAATGGATGTTTTTGATCTGATTTTGTTGCTGACAAATAACTTTCATTTGCTTCACCTTTATTATATTTTATTGATAAGCAAGTGAGTCTGCGGCACAGCGGTAGAATGCTCGCCAACCACGCTTGTGGTCCGGGATTCGATCCCCTATCGACACACTGCTTTAACTCACTAAGCCAGTAATAAGACTGGTAAAGAGAGGGAAGGTTGAGTATGAGGGTAGCAGCCCCATCCCGTAAGAATAAACATAACAGCTACCAAAACTTGAAGCCCTATTTTCCACTGGGAACGTAAAGGAATAAAAAAATTGATGAGCAAAGATATATCCCATTTATGAATTTCCAGTTGAATGCTTACTACTCAGTAGCGAGTTAAAGATACACATGAAGATGTGTTAGTTAGCGTTAGGCACCTTAACCACACGTTTGGTTCATCCCACAGCGCCAGTTCTGCTAACCAAAAATGGCCCACTTGGCACTCACATTCAATGCAAAACTCCATTTAAGCGAGGTAAGCTTCTCACCCATTTAAAGTTTGAGAATAGGTTGAGGATGTTTTCTCCATAATGCCTCTAATCATTCGCTTTACTGGATAAAACTGTTTATATCTCAGAATGCCAGCTATCCTGAGGGAAACTTCGGAGAGAACCAGCTACTAGATGGTTCGATTAGTCTTTCGCGCCTATACTCACGTTATACGATCGATTTGCACGTCAGAATCGCTACGGTCCTCCACCAGAGTTTCCTCCTTCAACCTTCGCAAGCATAGTTCACCATCTTTTGGCTCTCAAGATATTTGATATGTTTATATTAAAATCTAAACAAGAATACATATAGGGGGTATTTCTTCGACTGGGAAATAGCACAATTAGTTTAAGATGACATATATACATTTTTAGAATAGTTGTACAAAACAAACGAATTGTTTTACTTACTAATAGTTACAGAAATCAAAGTAAGGATACAAAACCATTGGTAAAGTCAACTGGACATCTAAGAAGTCATTAAGGAGTAGATAAGTTTCTAGGCATTGTGACTGCGAACATAAATGAAATGGAGGAATCAGGAATCAGTGCGCTATCATAACTTAAAGTAGTAACTTAATCTCAGATAGTTTGAAAGAAAAACATTCAGGTTTATCAGAGTAAAAAATGTCTTCGACCCATACCTTATACTTCAGTCCAATTTGTTGCGAACAGATTGTTAAAATCGAAAGATCATGGGAATGCATAAAAATTTAGTCAAAATGCATCAAATTGTTATAATAACAGGAGCAGTGAAGTGCTTGGCACAAAAACGTTTTTGTTTTAGTAGACAAAAGACAAGTAACTTGTATTTCTTGGTAGGCAACTTATTAAGGCAGAATAATGAATGAGGAAGTTATTTGTATGGATATTGATGAGAATCTGAATCATGTAATGGCAAGCCAAAGAGTTAACAAGGAGAATCACCCTTTGATAACTAATTCCAGTTCCTCCTGGTATCTTGATTAAATATACTAAGAGTACTGTTGCGCATATTGCTGGAAACAATTACCACTGTCCACTGATCATTGTTATGAAACGGTGTACTGACATGAGACTTGCATTGCCCTTATTTGTCAGAGTACATTGCTCTTGTGGAGCTAGATATATCGGCTGTATTTAGAGTTTGTTATCCAAATGTACCATAGAGCACCTGTCCTTATGGTTTCATAAAGAAGAGGAAAAGAGATTTCCCACACCACAGCTCTATCCTGGAACACCTGAGAGAATCAGGACACCAAATGAACCTGTAAACATATTTCAGAGTCGTCTAGTGAATAAACGAGAATTTTGCTACAGGTGTAGGAATCAGATCTGTCCGAACCACAGAAGCGATGGCAATTCACATGATGAATCCTGAACTCCGGATAAAGTTTGTCTAGTCACTGAACCTGCAGTGAACCTGATCTATCGCAAAACCAGATACGTAATTTTTTGTTTGTTAATTGTATTATTTCTACCAATTATTATCCCTTTTCTTTACTTGACCTTGGTTAAAATTTAGTTGAGTTCTACTCAGTCTCCTGAATTATATTACGCTACTTACTTTATTCATTTCATTTTATTTAACTTTCTGTTCGATTAACTCTTCCTGTAAGACGCTATCATTATTAAACAAAGCTTACAGTTCTGATGACACATCTTTGCGAACATTCCTTTTATTGCTAAGATAATTTACAATACACATGTGACTATAAAGCTTGAGAATGATATCGCTGGTAGGAGTAACTCTTCGCTGAACACCTTTTTCCTTTAAATAACCCTCTGGGGTCTTTTAGACTGCTTTTTAATTTCCTTTACGTTTCCAGTGGAACATAGTGCTTCAAGCTAGAGGCCTGAAGTTTCTGTAACAGTGGTGATTATTTTTACACCATGGGGGTTGCTAGCCTCATGTCCAACCTCCTCTCTTTAAAAGTCTTATTACTGGCTTAGCGAGTGAGGTAAAGGAGTAAGTCGGTGGTCAGGAGTCGAACCCCAGATCACCTGCGTGGTCGACGAACACTCTACGGCTGTGCCACCGACACACTTTAAGTTGTTTAAAGATTACATGTGAAACACATTTCAATCAATCCAATGTTTATCCACTAAATTCAACTGCATTATAAATATTTATTCTAAATGATTTTATTATTTCGTGGAACTAACTAACAATAATGCGTCGGTGGCACAGCGGTGGAATGCTTGCCAATAGTGCATGTGGTCCGGGGTTCGACCCTCAGCTACCGACTCACTCCTTTACTTCATTAAGCCAGTAATAGCACCGGTAAAGAGGAAAGATTTGGCATGAGGCTAGCAACCCCATCCTGTAAAAATAAACATCACTGCTACTGAAACTTCAAGCCTGTAGCTTGAAGCCCTATGTTCCACTGGGAACGTAAAGGAAAAAGTAATAATATAATAATATTTCACATATTTGGTTCTCTTGATAAATTTCGATAGAGAAAGAAAGACTAGATTTGCAGTATAAAATGATATCATTCCATTTCTCAGGTTCTCATTAGCTGCAAACTACCTGAAATTACAATGGTTATGAATAATAACATTTCATACTTTAAAGTTTGAAAGGTAATAGAGAAAACATTATAAGATGAACGCATCCGGAATTTAAGTGCTACAATTTTTAGTTTAAGTTACCATCAATTTAAATGCTATCAAACTATGAAAAAAAGAGGGGGGAGGGAGGTGAGAGAAGACAGAAAAATCTAATAAACAGTGTTAGCTTGTACGTCAACATAGCAACTCAAGAAGGTTAAAGTTCATCAAATTGCTCAGTGAGCTGAGCTCACTAATGTGTATGACTAATCAGTGTAATGAAATTAATACGGTTACCAAGGGAGTGAGAGATTGACTACACTCTCTTTCTGTGTGCATAAGTTTGGTCTGAGACGTTTGATTACAATTGCTTCAGCAAATCGTAGTAAATTCGCTGTCCTTTGTATGTTTAATATTTTAAAGGATTTGGAAATCTCAACAAAATGACCCGTATCCACAAGGTGTCTGGTAATTGCACTTTGTAAATATCTGCTTCCTTTTAAGCATAAGTTTCTTGGAATATGCTCTGGAAACCGGATAGAAGCCCTTCTTTCTGTCCTTACAGTGTCCTTGCTGCCGCAGGTGCGACGTAAATTTATAAATGCAGTTGGAGGTAACATCAGCAGGGTACTTATCCAGTTTATATTGTTGGCTTATAGAGCATGTAGTGCTGTATAGTGTCACCAGCTTGGCTGCAGGGAAGCATCTTTTTATTGATCCTTTCGTCCTATTGTCAGTCTTTTTGATACTATTTCTCCTTTGAATGAGAGGCAAATGAACACTATATTCTTTTCAACTGTTGGATACTTCGCTTTCTCATCTCTTTCTTTGCTGTACTTTAGGATAAATCCCTTTGGATACCCGTTTTCCCTAAAAATTGTAATGATGCGTTCATCTTATAATGTTTTCTCTATTACCTTTCAAACATTGAAGTATGAAATGTTATTATTTATAACCATTGTAATTTCAGGTAGTTTGCAGCTGATTGATGAGAATCTGTGAAATAGAATGATGATATCCTTTTATACTGCAAATCTGGTCTTTATTTCTCTATCGAAATATAATAATATATAATAATAACTAACAATAATTCATAATAACTATTTAACTTTCTAGGGTGATGTGATTAGATTATTTCACAGTGAATCAGAAAAATTTCTAACTTGTGATGAATATCAAAATGAATTGCACGTGTTTCTGCGTACTACATTTCGAACAGAAACAACTACAGCAAAAAGCTCAAAAGCACTATGGGAGATTGAGGTAAATTCTTTCTTTCCATAAATAATTTTATAAAACTTTCAATTGAATACCTGATTTTAACACTTTGCGTTTTTAGCCCAGTATTATGTGATGTTTACGTTGAAATTAATCTAAATTCCTAGAAAAACGCATAATCTAAATATTAATCTCTAGTCTATTGATGGCTGTTGGATTGATGTCCTGAAGCTGTACTTAGAAGTCGTGACTAGTAACATCCACTTTGTGAAAATGAAGTGGATGCCTACATCATCGAAGGCATTGGTTGAGGATAGACCTCTATCAGGAATTAACAAGAGTTATAATTTTATGGGTCAGTGGATTCCAATGCAGTGATTGAGCAGTCTATTAAAGTTAACTATTGTTAATTTTCAACTATATACACAGGAAGGTGGACGACATTTTCACCTAAATCAGTTGTCACAAGTATTTACCAACTGTCATCGGTATGGGAAACGAATCCAAAATTCCCTTTTGCGATGTTGAGCTAACAAAAAGATCCGGTAGAACCTTAAGAAGGTATGTTCAAGAGAAATCTACAAGAAATGTCCAAATGATAGGTTTCTACCGTTGGGTACCAGTTCAATCAAAAACGAAACTTTGTTAAATCCCTTGATACTCACATCCGGTGGATCTGTAGTCCTGACACCCTAGGAGAAGAATTAGATCTTTTGAAAGAAATCTTCACTCAAAATGAATACCCACCAAGTTTCATTGACAAGAACATCAAACTAAAAGTTTTTGAGAAGCGAAACATTACTCGTAACAAAAATAGGAACTTTACATGGGCTTCAGTTTCAAGGGGAACTTAACCTGTGATATCATTAAGAGAAGAATTTCAGCATTTTCGAGAACATTCTTCACAGCGACACTAACAGTAGTGTTCTCCAGTCGTCCATTGGTCTGTTGAAGCCTTAAGGACAAGATCTAACAACTGACTAATTCTATGTCCGTATATCAGTACACCTGCTCTTGTGGAGCTATGTTGGTCATTCGATACGTTTCTTGTCTAAATAGGTCCAAAAGAACTATCCGAAATGGTGGCATAAAGGTAGCGGTGATACTCTATATAGTGTGATAATTGATAAATAGGTTCATCTTACCAATAAGCTTCGAAGGTGGTCTCTGAACTGTTGACATCATGACTGTCATTATCATTACAAAAATTTAATCACTAATTTGAATACTGTCAAATGTCAGTTGCTTTTTAAATACATAGGTGATCCATTCAGATTCGAAACGAACTGGAGCAGGTCACTGGAATAGTCTATTTCGTTTGAAGCATTTAACTACGGGGATGTATTTATGCGCAAAAGTAAGAATTTTATAATAACTTTTTACTTATTAAAAGCTTATTTGTGTATTTTAGAACTTTTTACTTCATAGTTTCATCATTATTTGAAATAAATTTGACATCTCTATTTCACCCCGTTCTTCGAAGTCTTGTTTACGTGGCTTCATGACTGCCCATTAGATTTCATCTCCTCGTCACATGATTTCCTCCTTGTCACCCTCGGAGCCACGCCCAACTCGTCGTTTCCCATTCGGGTTTCACTCGATGACCTGCCTTACAAATGGTGTTACTCAACGGTCTGCTCAACGTGCGTCCAATGCATTTCCATTTCCCTCCGTATATTCGTTTGGAGATGGAATGTTGATTAGCCTGTTGCTAAACTTTCTTGCTGCTTATCCTTTCTCGTTGATGATCTGATCTTCAGTAAGGAGAGAAGGGGGCAGTTGTTGATGAGTGTCTGCAGTAGCTTGTTGGAAATGCTTTTGGTGACGCGTTCACCAAGTCTGTGAACCATATAGTAGAAGTACTGACTTGACATAAGTGTTGAATATCTCGAGCTTTTTCGTTATGCTGAGTGCAATAGATTTTCGCTTTAATTTCAGATAAACGAAGGTCTTTCATACAGCCAGTTCTCTTTATTACTTTGAATAAAGAAAGTAAGAACATATTTATAGGCAGGATAATAATACGAAATCGTTTTATTTCGTCAACTCTCTTCAACTGCATACATCATAAATAAATCAATTATATGTTACAAAATGGTTTCTGAACATACTTTTTACAAAGATTTCAAGTTATAGATAGAGAGTATAAGCAATGTGGAAGTCACTGGCGAGCATCAGATTAATTTTCAAGAGTTTGGATGGAGTTCCCACCGATGACGCTGGTTGGTGGTAGCGCCAAATAAAGAACTGGTAGGAGTCATAATTCAAGGGTTGGCCATTGAATCGGGTCCCTGTGGCTGAATGGCATACGAGCCAGCTTGTCATGTAACCAGAAGGTTCTAGTTTCGAAAGTTGATGATTCCTAAACTAGGATGAAACAGTTGTCCAGTACTCACTGGCTGGTTTCCAATGGTTCTCTAAATAATGTCAATTCGTGATTAAACTCGTATAAACAAATCTAATCCTTACAAACCAAATTCTTGAAAATTTATATAGTAATTAGACAAGGGAGTAGACTTCAGATTTGGCTTGGAAGCAAGGATGGACTAGAGACAAAATACAAGATAGAACAACAGACTGAATTTATACATATTATGGTGGAGAGTTCAGGCGAGTGGGGATGAATAGTGAAGTAAAATTATGAAATAGATAAAATAATTTAATTTAGTAGATTTGGAACTTTAACAGTGAATTCAACTCAGTCAGTGAGTGAAAATCAAAATCAAGATTGAGTGGAATGTTACGTAACAGAACAAAACAGTTATGGTGACCAGGTAGGGTAGTGAGAGATTAGTCATACTCTCTTTTTGAATGCACAGGTTGGGTTGAATTCTTTTGATGTCAATGGCTTCTGTGAACCTAAGTGAGCCTGCTTTTCTTTGTGTATTGATTATTTTGAATGTCTGACTAATTTCCACTGTATGTCTCTAAATAATTGTCTACTTACATCATCTTTGAAATCACGTTTCCTTTGCTTTCTATCTATAACTTGAAGTCACTGTGAAGAAAGTATGTTCAGACACCATTTTGTAACATATAATTTGATTTGACTTGTTTATGATGTATGCAGTTGAAGAGAGCCGACGAAACAACACGAGCTCGTATTATCATCCTGCCTGTAAATATGTTAGATCTTTCTTTATTCTAACGAAGGTTTGCCTTGCTCTCCTGATCCTGGCTGGCTTTGACATTCTCATCCGTGAAATATGGAGTAAGAAATAAATACAATGGGAAGGATCCATTTGTCTGATAAAATACTATTCTGACTGACTGCTTTCAACGTAGAACTTTGCACAGATGTGCAGCAGTTCGAGTTGCCGCACTCCCTCCTTGTAACACACGAACCAAGAGGTGAGAGTAAAAAGAGATTCAAAAGAGAGGTAACAAACAGAAATATCAGGCAAAAAGAATAGTAATATGGAAGATCAATAAAGTCTCATTGGCTATGATAAATCACAAAGAGTGGATGCATCTGCGCCAGCCAGTCATTGAGAACGATTTTGAGTCATATCACCAATTGTCTCCAACCTTCATTGGTTTTTATCATCCCGATGACCCCAACCAGGAAGTCTACACCTCCTGGCGTGGCTTAAGCTAACTGTTATGGATTTCATTGACTGATGAGGCCATGTTTTGGTTTGACCACCTCTGGCTCTTTTCCAACCTGATCAATCCTATGTCAGCTAACATTGCCCATTGTCGAGGAAGGCGATGGCTAGGCTAGGATCTAATTTTTGATGAGTTTTTTTTTGGCATATGAGTTTAGTAATCACGACTCTTATTCGTGTTATTGTTTTTTCTTTTACAGGTGCAAAAAATGGAAGATCGATCTGGAGATACAAAAGTGCTTTCATATCGTGAACAAGATAACTATTATGCGCCAAGATTTCTTACCTTATCAAAAGATCCAACATTTGAAACAGTTTTTGAATTAGATTCAACAAGTCATAATAAAGATAATAATGAACTTATACCGAATAATGCATTTGTACGTATTTGTCATACAGCTTCAAAAATGTGGATTAAAGCCAGTGAAGTTGCTATTGATAAAAATGTTGACAAGCCTATAATGCATATGGTATGTGTATATGTCTCTGTTTATTTATTATGTGCAAATGTTTACGAGTTGATCACGGACTGATATGAATTAGAGAACCACTGAGAGTACTGGACAGCTGCTGTTTCATCCTAGTTTGGGAATCATCAACAGTACACACTCACTGGGATTCGAACCCAGGACCTTCCGGTTACAAGGCAAGCTCGTATACCATTCAGCCACTGGGACCCGATTCAATGGCCTATGAATTGGCAGAAGGAATACATATTTTAATGATCAGATGTTAGATTTTGTGGGGACTTGAATCCATTTCACTGTAGGATTCATCACGAAGCATTCACTAGTTCATTATTGACTATCTATTTGATATCCTGAAGTCCTAATAAGAAGTCATGACCAGTTGTTACTCATCGATGGCAATGGTTGGCTGAAGCGCCATATCTCGAATCGATGGAAGTTAGGATTTACTGGCCATTGATTGATCTCAAATACAATGACTGAATGGTAAATGATCTGGCCTCGTAACCTGAAGATCCTGGATTCGACCCCTAGTGGCGTCATGGATGTGTACTGTTGAAGAGTCTCAAAGTAGGGTGAAACGGCCCTCCCTAGTATTCTTTATTTTTGCAGTGATTCATTAACCGATGTTAGTTTGGTGACTGAATCTATACTGATTTAATTTAAACAAAATAATGAATGCGGAGTGAAGGTTAAATATGAACCTAATTCAAATCTTGTGGTTACTCATCTTCATTCATTTGCCATTATATAAGGACCAGTTTTGGTGTTAGATGGTTGGAAACAATCTGCAGGAAGCTCTGGATCTAGGTTTTGTGATTATTGGCACTCGTCAGAAAGGCGTACAGTGCTTCCTGTAGACTGTCTCCAACCGTCTAACATCAATTCAAAATGCACCGGCGATGGCTAGCCATCTAGCATGGTCGCCATACTGCAAACCTGATTGATAAATTTCAGTCTGCATCAAACGAAAGACTAGATGCATGACTTATTTACTACCTAATGTCCAATCAAAGATTTGTTTGTTGAATGAAGGCAGTCTCAGATTGCAGTGACCAAAACCTACTTGTTGTGGTCTGAACGCATGGAACCGGTCTTTACATTCTACTGTACAACCATCCAAAACTTCCTTGAGAGACGCAGCGCTCCACAAACGCTCCAAAGACGGCAAAAAAGACGATTATTCTTCGACAAATCTGTGATTCCATTCAACGACAATAACATTAAAAACTCAAAATTACCTCATCATTACCGTTGGGCAGTTATATAGATAAGATAACTTCTTAAGCACAAAACAAGTACTGTAGAACAAAATTAGTTAACCAAAATTCTTCTGCAAGAAGTACCTGAGAATATTCTCTGAAAGGTGGGATCAAAACTCTGTCCATAAGAATCACACACCAACAATTCCTGTAGGCAGTCCAATGCCAGAACAACCCTGATTCACTTAAATAAAATCACATTGTAAAACAACACATTATCGATGTAACTCACAACCACAAATAGAAGCATCGAAATTAAAGATTAAACAGGGACAAAGACAAATAATAAGAACCAATTTATCCCATTAATTAATAAATTTGAATAATGCAAGAATGACAAATTTAGCAGGGTAATATGAGCTCATTTTTAAATATTATTTTGAAGATTCTTCTCAACTGACTACAGCTTAAACACTACAAGAATATTAATTGCAATAAAAATTTGAAGCTACTTTTTCCAAGATGACAATGAGTAATTGGTAGGAACTAAGGGTAACACTAGTCAAGAATGTTGTAAGTTACAGGATTTCACATGAGCTAACATTGGTTGGAGAACCATTGGAAAACCTGTGACTACTAGACAGCTGTTTCGTCCTAGTTTGGGACTCTTCAGCACTATGCACCCACCAGGGTTCAAACCCAAGACCTTCCGGTTACAAGGTGAGCTAGCTCGTAGACCATTAGGTCACTGGGACCCGATCCAATGGCTCATGAATTCTAACTTTTACCAATTCACAACATAGCGCGACCACTAGTCAATCGATGTAGCTCCACAATCTGTTTGACTGACTTCCATTCCTTACCTAGCAGTCTACGCCTAACGTCAATGTTGCTTACTGTGTTGTACCACTTAACACTGGAAATAGAACGCAAACATTTGTGGTTACAGGCAGCTAGTCTTTTCATATCTTCCACTTTAAATGACCACGTCTAACAGCCAATCAATACGTGAATATCAATGAGATGCTCACTAGCGACTGGCCCTATTCAGGTAGGTAGTTACCTGGGGTTCTAGTGAGAGGTCGTGACCAGTAGGGTGCAGCAGGTCGGGTGTGAAGACAAATACTCGCCAAAGTCATTGACTAGTGGTCGCGCTATGTTGTGAATTGGTAAAAGTTAGAATTCATGAGCCATTGGATCGGGTCCCAGTGACCTAATGGTCTACGAGCTAGCTAGCCTTGTAACCAGAAGGTTCTGGTTTCGAACCCCGGTGGGTGCGCAGTGCTGAAGAGTCCCAAACTAGGACGAAACAGCTGTCTAGTAGTCACAGGTTTTCCAATGGTTCTCTAACCAATGTTAGCTCATGATGAAATCCTGTAGCCAGTCAAATCCCTACAAACCAACACTTGAATTTTGTAAGTTATTAAATAATTAAAAGTAAAAAGGATCAATTATTTTGTAAGAAAATCATACGAATATGTTTGGAAACAAAAGGACAAAGTTCAACAAATTTTTGACAGTAGAAACAAAGTTCAACTAGAAAGAGCATGACAAATAACAGGTTACGTAACCACTGAAAATATGCTTTCATAAGTTAGCCAAAAAGGTGAGGGTAGGGTGAGTCATGTTTAGACGAAAAATAAGATTTCATAAACAGAACAGAATACGACACAGTAAAATTTGTATACGTGTTATCACAGAGATTCATTACTGTCTCTTTCTACGTACATAGACTTGGTTTTAATCGTTTTATGTCGATTGCCTCAACAAAACATAGCAGGCTAGGTTTCTTTCGCCTGTTGATTATGTGAATGCCTTTAGATTGTCCACAACATGGAAAGTGTCTTATAGATACCAATAGTTCTGAACGTAAACCTATCAATTTTTTAGGCTGTAAGCAGCTGATGAAAAGCCAAAAAAAAGAAAACTAAGGTACCATCTTATTCTTCACAAACCACTGTTGTTCTTGCTTTATTCGAAATCTGAGAAGTTTTAAATTAATTATTTATTCAGTGTACTAAGACCTCTGATATTTGATCGGTAATGTTTCATCATTTTGGCTTAGTGATGTCTTCAACAATAAGTTCTTAACGAATAACAAAATAATTCCTGTCTGCATTCGAAGTAACAAATCTCTTTTACTTCATACATTTTAACTCGGGTTAACTTCATTTTATTTGTTTATTTTTTAAATTTTATTGTAGCTTGATTCCACACAGTACTTTCGGTACAAGTATGGAATTTTCAGCATGTCATATTGGTAGCACAAATGTAGCAGGATGACCACTGATAAGTTTGCCGGGGATGCAACCCCGGACCATGTTCATGGTTAGCGAGCATTCTAACCGCTGTGCCACCGACGCATTATTTTAAAAATGCTCTAACTATAAGTGAAGGCATCTTTACAGTTAGCATTAATCATCATATTTCACCTGGTTTTCCACTTCTGAAAGATTAACGACGGATACTCTTAGAATTGTCGGTTATATTCCTCTCTATATACTTAGATAAAGGTTATCTAGGCTAGTAAAATAATCTGTGTAACGGAAAAGTTAGCGCATCGATGATTCAGCTGTAGGATGCTGGTCAACTACTCGTGAGGTCCAGGGTTCGATCCCTGGCCGGCTCACTCCTAATACCTCTCTAAGCTTGTAAATAGGTCGCCGAAAAGAGAAGGTTGGGCGTGAGGCTAGCAACCTAACTTCGTGAAAATAAAAATGACCGCTACCAAAACTTCAAAGCTATAACTTGAAGCCTCCTTATGTTCCACTGGAAAAGTAAAGGAATAATAATAATAAATAATAACGGAAGCGTTGTTTGGAAAATCCCTACTGAATAGTGTAAACACAGTATTTATTCTTATATGGATGTTTTAGCCAAAATTATAATTATTATCTATTTTATCCTTGTTCTGAGATTTGTATATCAGTATGCTGACTTGATCCTTATTTGAATAAGACAAGAACGACAAATCTACCAGGATAATATGAGCTCAGTTTTCATTATTTCGAGAATTCATCTCAACTGGCTACAACCTAAACAATACAAAACAAAGTGAATTGTAGCTCAGTAAAGAAGAAGTTCTTCTTTCTACAGCTGACCTTTAAATGTGATGATACTGCTAGTAGAATAAGATGCAGACTGAACGCTGCCCTGAAAAGAATATATCCAAGCGCCAAACTTGTATGTGTTTACCAAACAACCAGTTATTTAAGACAGTCAAAAGGGAAAAATACTCCCACTTCATATTACCTCCAACCGTGTCTACTAATTTACATGTACGTGTCAAAGCACATACATTGGAAGAACAGACAGAAATATCTATTGTCCGCATTTCGGAACACATACCGAGGAACCTCAGACTAAAGGGTTCACAGACATTAAACAGTGAGATCGAAAGCCATCTATAATACATTGGCCATGTTGTGAACAATCCAAAGTAATCAACAGGCAAAAGAAACTTAGTTGACTATGTTTTGTTTAGGCAATCGACATCAAACGATCAAAACGAAGTCTATGTACGTAGAAAGAGACAGTAATGAATCCATCACTGCCTTTGTGGTAACAAGTATACAAATTTTACTACGTCACCTACTGTCCTGTTCAGAAAAATTTTATATTTTATCTGAACATGACTCATTCGACCCCCTCCTTTTTGGCTAATTTGTAAAAGCATATTTTCTGTGGTTACGTAACTTATTATTTGTCATGCTCTTTCTAGTTGAACTTTGACCTTTTGTTTCCAAATATATTCGTATGATTTTCTTACAAAATAATTGATCCTTTTCACTTTTGATTATTTAATAACTTACAACACTGTTGACTAGTGTTACTCTTAGTTCCTACCAAGAACTCCTTGTCATCATATTCAGCAAATCGGAGGTGCTCCCTTCTCTCTTTTCCTCATGGTAATTGCTACCAATTTGCTGAAAATGTACCGAAAAGCCTGAGTCTCAAGGGAACAAACATTTTCAATAGTTCCATTGCCAGGCATCTCTTTGATACGTGTCATGAGGTAGACATTGCGAAATCCTGTAAAATAAAAGCTGTTTGAAAGTCAGTTAATGTGTTCAGATAGAAGTAGTTTTCAGTCTTTATTTGCACTGGTAACTGGATGTCTTCACTCACTCACTCACTCACTCACTCACTCACTCACTCACTCACTCACTCACTCACTCACTCACTCACTCACTCACTCACTCACTCACTCACTCACTCACTCACTCACTAATCTTTGGCTTTAATGTCATACCCCTTTAATACAGTATAACTTTGCTTGTCTCTTTTTTTCTATCGCCTGAGTTGAACTCACTATATTGTTATTCAATTAATAAGTTACTCATAATCTTTATTACGTAACTCCTTTTCCACTGTATCCAAGCTTTTATTTTTGTTTAAATTTGAACTTTCTGATTATAAATTAAATAAGTGTAATTTTCAGAGCACTGTTCATTAAGTTTGTCGCCTCCTATCAACTGACATAATGTGACATTTATAAGTATGTTAAAGTTGTTCTGTACGCCAACTTAATAATATCTTCAGGCTGTGTGAGCAGATGATGAGATGCCAGCGAAATGAAAATAATGGCAATGACATACCGACTTTGTGTGCGTCGGTGGCACAGTGGTTAGGACTCTCGCCGACCATGCACATGGTCCGGGGTTCGATCCCCTGCCGAAGCACACCCGATATCTATGGTCGGCCTGCAAAATTTAGGCTACCGATATCCATGCTGAAAATTCCATACTTGTACTGAAAATACGGTGTGGAATCAAGCTGTAAATCAAAATAAAATAAAAATAAAAATCAAATAAAATAAAACATCTTTTTTCTGCACAAACCACTGTTTGTTCTTGCTTTATTCAAACTCGTAAAGGTCGAATAAATGCATGAAGGAACCCCTCAGTAATATCAGTAACATATAGAATCCCATATTGAAATAGTGAGCTTTACTTTCATCAAGGTTGACTGATAAATGCTTAAGAATCGAGGATACTAAACCTTATTCAACATGGATTTTTTAATTTCATTGTATAGTATTTAATTCATACTTTTTTGTTTTGACTTTTATTTGCACTTACAGTTAGCAGTTAATTAAGCTAATTAGAAAAATAAATATTTAACATATATAAATGTCGTGATCTGATCTTAGTCTGCATTGTCACGAAAGTTATAACACTAATATTATCCAGGGTAATGCAAAAGTCATTCCATCTTTCTCTATTATAACTTAGTTCGACTGTAGCTGAAATGAGAAAACAATTATAGATAGCAAGTGAGATTTTTATTGAATGAATAACTATACAGCAACACTAAGCAGAATTATCAATAATTTAAGGTGAAGTCAAAATCTAGTCAGCACTTGCCTCACATTTAACCTTAGACTGATATCAGTTAAGGAAACATTAAAAACGAGCGAGTATTGGAGAGCTGTTCAGTTTCACTAGTTTGGGACTCTTCAGCAGTACGCAACCACCACCAGGGTTTGAAGCCAGGACCATCTGGTTACAAGATGACCTCGTAGACCATTCAGCCGTTGGGACCCGATCCAATGGCTCATGAATTCCCGTGGCTGAATGGTCTACGAGCCCACCTTGTAGCCGGAAGGTCATTGGTTCGTACGTACTGACGATGGGTAGCAAACTAGGATGGAAAAGCTGTCCCGTACACTCTGATTTCCCACTAGTTCTCTAACCGATGTTAGCTCATAATGAAATCCTGTGACCAATCAGAATGAATACTTATTATTTATTTTTAAGTCAGTTTTAATTTTCCCGTCGACTAATTGGACTGAAATGTTTGGCCTCTGTTGACATGTTGGCTCCCAGTACAGTCGCCTTGGTGATGTCTGAGAATCAACATGAAGTAATTTGGTGGATGGTGATTAGTAGTTGAATCCAGAATGCTGATTTCGTCCCATTCGGGACTCGTCAGCTAGATGTGCTTGCATTCCCAGTGAATGATGTTGTCCCCACTGAGACCTGAACCCAGTACGCTTCGTTTCACACTCTTGGGATTGCAATACATCCGGCTGACGAGTGCTGAGTAGGACGAAATGGACATCTTGGATCCTGCTGTTAGTTACCATCCACCAAAATGAATGCTATTTAATATTGTAGAGTTATAATAACTTGATTATGCAATAAGATTAAAGTTACATCTACCGTTTTCTTTTTTCTCTGTTTATTATTTTGAAATTTTCCTACAGCTTAATCTAACTTGTGTTAAAGATAACAAGGAAGTATTTGCTATCCTTCCTGTGCCTGCATGCATAGTCAGAGATTTAGATTTTGCCAGTGATGTCTACAAAGCTCTTGGAGCTATTCTCAGCAGCCTAAGAGATCAAGGCAAATTGACGGATATGCAGCTGAAGTAATTTTAGTTTTTGTTTGTTTTATGTCTTAATAAAAAGGAAAACACACTTTGTGCTAAATATTCCTTTCATGTATAGATCTGTTTTTCAATTAGTTTGATATAATACTTTACAGTTTACATTTACCTTATGAAAAACCAGGATGGAATAACTCACTGGTAACTTCTCTGAATTCAGCACTGGGTACCCCGGATTAAAACTTTAAAGGGGACATGACTTCCTTCAAGTTTGAAGACAAGATTTGCTGACCGATGAGTACCAGCAAGCGCGAAACCTATATCCAAGGCTTCCTGCAGACTGCTTCCAATCATCTGACAACAGGAAAAGGATGATCGACAATTCAATCTGTATATTAGGTCATATCTGATCCTTTTTAATTTTAGCATCACTCTCCGTAGAGTTTACTTTTACTGTTCTTTGTCATAGTAATCTGCTGAAATCATTAGGTCACCAAACTTTCCACAGAGTACAATACGTCAAATTTACTCAGTTATACTTTATTCTGACCACCCTTTTATATCCATGAAGAACAATCTGTACTCACGTGTATTTCTGAATGGCTTTCAACATACCACTCAGTGTATTTTGAAGGGAAGAAATACGTTGGATGTCAGATGGATCGTGTTACAGATAGAACAAAATCCTGTCGAATGATGTACCGTAGATAACTGTTTTACTTGGGGATTTTGTATAAGGAGTAGGTAAAGCCAAGTTGAAAGTTCTGTAATGTATACAAGTTGTTCAGAATAAAGCTATTATTATTATTATTATTATAAAAGCTGCAATCTACGAATGTTTGGCATGCGATTCGTTCCCGCCAAATGTAAGATGATGTTACAGGACTGGACTACACTAACTCCTAGACTACAGATAGGGAGTGAAGTGATAGACAACGCTGACCACTTAATTTATTTGGGAAGTTGCATCAGCCAGCCCCAACGGGTTAATCTCTGACGAAGTCTCAGCACGGATACAGAGGGTTAGTTTCGCATATGCCAGTTAACGCCGTCTCTGGCGTAGACGCGATATTTGGCTGGCTATCGACCAAAGGGCGTGTGTACTGCTCAGCAGTCCGCTCCGTCCTCCTTTATGGCTGTCAGTGAAACATGGCCATTGAGAGCGGAAGACATGAAAAGATTAGCTGTCTTTTATCATAGGTGCCTGCGTTCTATTTCCCGTGTGAAGTGGTAGAATAAGTTGGGCAATAATGAGGTTAGGCGTCGAATGCTAGGTAAGGAGGGGGAAATCAATCGACGAGGCTGTGAAGCTACATCGACTGAGATGGTTAGGACATGTGTTACGCATACTTGCCTAGCCATCGCCTTCCTCGACAATGGGCAGTTTTAGCTGACATAAGATTGATCAGGCTGGAAAAAAGCCACTGGTGGTCAAACCAAAACATGGCCTCGTCAGTTAATGAAATCCACAATAGTTATTTTAAGCCAGTCACGTAGGAAGGTTTAGACTGGCTTCCTGGTTGGGGTCCTCGGAACGGTAAAAACCAATGAAGTTTGGAGACAATTGGTGATATGGCTCAAAATCGTTCTCAATGGCTAGCTGGCGCAGATGCATACACTCCTTGTGATTTATAATATCCAATAAAACCATATTGTTCTTCCATATTACTATTCTTTTGTCTCATATCCCTGTCTATTTTGCATTTCTTCTACTTTCTTCTCTTGCTTTGTTTTCTGAGTGAAGTGTGGCGACTTGAACTTCTGCACATCGGTGCAAAGTTCTATGTTGAAAACAGACAGACAGACAAACAGATTATAAAATAGAAAAAGCATACACCTCGCAGGTAGCAATGAGTATACAGTCAAAGAAGGCTAAACAGAGAGGTACATTGGCCTTAGTTGGTAAATTACAAATAATAGTAATTAGCCTAATAGAGGAGTTTAATAAATATCGAAAAACATAATAAAATGAATAAAAATGATAAGGTATAAGTGAACAAAGCGAATTTATAAAATTGTTGACACTTTTAAAGTACATGTGTTGATTGGTATTTATTTATAAACAATAACAATTAATTAAGAAACATTTACTAGTCATTCATAGACTGTTATCGACAGCTACCTTCTTTTGATACTAAAGATAAGGTGACTAGCCATAAACGATTACCAATAAGAAATTCTGCCAGTGAGCCAACAAACATGCAGAATGAAATGAAGATGGATAGGACATACCCTGACTCCCTAGAATGCAGCTCGAATTGTATTCAGCGAGTTGGGTGAGGATCTGAGGGTGATATGAGAGTGAGCGGAGGAGATGGGAGTTTATGGACAGTCGTCAAGCCAGCTAGTAAGCACTGCAGAGAACAGGTTGAAGTCAGGATGTCCTTCTAAGGCCGTATGTTCCGCTCAGAACACAAGGGAATAATCAAATATGGTTGTCTCAGGCATTATTACTTAATGGAACTGCGTTTGACTTATAGCATGGTTTTGTAATAGAAAGACACGTAACATAAATGCTCATATCTTTTAAATCTATAGTGCCGTGCTGCAATTAGATTCAGTTGTCAGTTATTAGAATGTATATCCAGAAAAGGCCATAACGGCTCAGAATGACTTATTCAATTATTTTCACATTCCTAATCGATGGGGGTAGAGTGCCCACCAGTCGTGCTGTGGTCCGAGGTTCTATTCCTGGGGGATGCAGTCCTAACCATTGTTTAGCCGATAGTAAGGCCGGAAAAGAGAAAAGGGTGAGCGTGAGGCCAGTAGTTCTACCGCGTGAAAACACCACAAAACGCTGCTCAAACTTTGAAGCTTAAGAAGTTTGAAGCACTTTATACCACTCAGAACACAAAGGAATGAAAGAAGAAAGAAGAATCTGTAGATTTACCTAAGTGCTATAAAACAGAAGACTAATATTAGCCTGTTGTGCTTTATGCATTTTGATTACAATAAAACTTCAATGGATTATTAAATAAGCGAAGTTAGACCGAAGGGTATTCAGCTGAAGAATATAATTTGAAGAGTTAAAATCTTACCAAGCCTCGGGAGATTACATTGTTATCAGTTTCATTTTCAAGCTGAAAAGACAGGAGTGATGAATTTATCTTAGAAAGGTTTTTCAGCTGGTGAAAACCTTTCGCCTCATCAAACAGAGCAGTTGAATATAGCGAAAAGTAGAAATAGAATTAGGGTTTTAAAAAAAACGGGAGAGATTTAACAGAGGTTGCATCCCTCACTTATCTGGGAAGCATCGTCTCAACTACAGGTACTCGGAACGGACGAATATGTCAAAGTCAGGATCGGAAAGGCAAGATACGCCAGTTTGGAAATCTTCCGCACTCAGCATTAGGAACAAGATTCGCATTTTCAGCACCAATGCGAAGTCGGTTCTTCTATACGGGTCAGAAACATGCACTGCGTGTCACGAAAAGGATTTCCGACAGCTTTTTGCAGACTTTCATCAACAGCTGCCCACTTCGCTGGATCCATACTGAAGATCAAATGGCCAGAAAGAATAAGCAACAAGAAACTGTGGGAACGAACCAACCAAGAGCCGACCTCTCAAAAAATATGCAGAAGAAAATGGAGATGGATCGGGCATACATGTAGGAAACCGCTGAATGACATCGCCCTCAACGCAGGCCAAAGCTCGAGTGGAATCCAAATGGGAAGCGACGAGTAAATCTTCAGTGCAAAGGTGACATGGAGGAGATCGTGTGGTGAGGAAGAGATGAGAGATTATGGGCAATCGTGGACCCAGGTGAGGAGGACGGCAGAAGATAGAAGAAAGTGGAGATGTGTTGTTGAAGCCCTATGTTCCACTCGGAACTCAAGGGAACAATATTAATAATGTTAAAAAAAACGTGATAGGATGAATAACACACACTGAAAATCAATCACACTTAAGCAGTTTTATGATGATTGTATTTGAAAATTTGCATTCACTTTGAAAAAAAACATGAAATAACATGGTCCCCACATAAATTGATGCTCTTGGGTTCTATCCTTGGACAGTTATAGGTCGGCGCTGCTGAAGTGTCCCAAACCAAAAATAATGGTTGTCTATGGTCTGCAATGGAATAGCGGTAAGGACGCTCGCCGACCATGCACATGGTCCGGGGTTCGATCCCCGGCCGGCGCACTCCTTTACCTCGTTAAGCCTGAACTATAAAGCTGGCCAAGAGGAAAGGTTGGGCATGAGGCTAGCAACCTCATCCTGTAGAAATAAACACTGCTACAGAAACTTGAAGCCTCTAGCTTGAAGCCCTGTGTCCTACTGGGAACGTGAAGGAATAAAAAATGAAAAAAATGGTCTGCAGTAGTTTGACTGTTGATGCAATTATTCCCTTTGGTTCCGAGATCTTAATACAGCTGTCTTTTGAGATGGCTCTACGACTGACTGTAAGATTTCATCTCCTCACATGATCTACTCCATTTCATCTTCGGACTCACACCATACTCGTCGTTTCCTATTCGGATTCCAGTCGAGGGCAAGTGATGTCACTTAGCAGTCTCTTCAAGGTATTTCTAATCCATCTCGAAATTCTTGTGCATGTTTACTGGGTGATAGGATCTTGGTTAGTTCATAGTCAGAATTCCTTGTCTGTGATATCTATTTGTGATGAGGTCGAATTCTCAAAGAAGCTCAAAAGATGGAAGTTTTGTTTGTTTTATATTACAATTATCGCGTGTTTGTTTACATTTAATTTACAGGTCGCTTATATTCATTCTGTCAGAATTAATAACTTTTCTTGACGGCAGTACAGATCTAACAGCAGAGTTAACAAGTACATCTGTAAAAAATCATGTGGCTTTACGTGATCGACAAAAGTTGTTACGAGAACAGAATATTATTTCTCAGGTGAGTTTACCACAAACGTTTGTTATAGTACTATGAATTAGTATACTTTCTCCAGAAATGGTATACGTTTAACTGTTTATTCATATAACGTACTTACTTGCCTACTGACATTAGTTTCCTAGGTGTATATTTAACCATCTTAAGTAGTTTAAACATCACATTAGTCTTAAAGCTAACAATTGTGTATTCATATATAGCCAGCTTTTCATAGTATTATATGAGAAAGTAATGAATATTCAAGTGTTGGTTTGTAGGGATTTCATTAATTGGTTACAGGATTTCATCGTGAGCTGACATTAGTTAGAGAACCATCGGAAAACCTGAGAGTACTGGTCTACTGTTTCGTCTCAGTTTGGAACTCTTCATCAGTACGCACCCACTGGAGTTCGAACCCACGACCTTCTGGTTACAAGGCGAGCTGATAGATCATTCAGCCACTGGGACCCGATCCAATGGTCCTTGAATTATAACTTCTGCCAATTCACGAAAAAGTGCAACCATTTCGCAATGTCTTCTTCGATCGGGTCCCAGTGGCTCAATGGTCTAAGAGCTCACCTTGCAAACAGAAGGTCCTGGGTTCGAACCCCGTTGGGCGTGTACTGCTGAAGCATCATTTTAGTCTTAAAGCTAACATTTGTGTGTTCATATATAGCCAGCTTTTTGTAGTATTATATGAGAAAGTAATAAAGTTTCTTGTATGCATAAATAGCTGTCTGTTTGTAAGTATGTTGGTCAACTGGGTAGTTACGACATAATAATATTGTTTACTTCAGTAGACTTGATCAGATGTCAATTATTATCAGGAAGACCAACCAAGTCCTTCCCATTTTCTTATAATCACGATAAACCTACTGAGGTGTCAACAGTACAACTGTCTGCAGGGATTGAAGTTATTTGGACCATAAAGACATTTCAAAGTAGTTGTTTGTTTCCAAGTTAATTTTGCACTTCTCATCGTTTGAATATGTTGAATCAAAATGCTACGTCTGTGTTGATATGCCGCCTCTTAGTACGGCCGCTTTGATGATGTCTAAAAATTACCATGAAGTTATTTTTAGTTGGTGGTAGCGTCTAAAAATTGAGATGCAAGATATAGGTCATAATGGAAAGTCACCGGAGAATGCAAGTACATCCAGATGACGAGTGCTGAATAGGACCGAAATGCGCAGCCTAGATTTCACTGTTAGTCACAATCAATCAGAATAACATCACACTGATCCTCAGACATCTTTTAAGCGTCCGTATATTGAGTCAACATCTCGACAGAGACTGAGCATTTCGGTCCAATACAGTCAATCAATTCAACTGGAAAAATTAATCGAGAAAAATTAATGATAACTCACACCCGTTGTACAGGAGAGGGCTTTACTAGCCTAATGTATAATGCCTTGGCGTTTGAGAAGATAGGCACTGGGTGTGAGTCTCAATGGAAACAGCATCATTCACTGGGAACGCAGTTACATCCGGATGACGAGTCTCAAATAAGACGAAATGCGCATCGTGAACTCCACTTCTGGTCACCACTAACAAAACTAATCACAAAGTAATGTTTAAGTGATATCTGTTGAGAAACGAATACTTTTTATGTTGTGTAATATAGCATTTATTTGTTTCTTTGATTGTGGCATTACCTAAAACTCTGATACAATTTCACAATCCTGAAGGGAAACTAACTGGTATAACATATTTTTTTGTTGTCAGTTATTTATTGGGTAGACCTACACTTCATAGTTTTTCCATGCATCTGTAAGGTGAGGATCGGGCTATAGATACGTCACTCTATACCTGCGGATTGGAAGAAAGACTACTTATTCAAACTGCCAAAGACTGGAGACTTAAGTCAATGCAAGAACTGGCGCGGAATTATGCTTCTGTCCATCATGAGCAAAATACCAAGCCGCGTCATTCTGGAGAGAATCAAACACGCCACTCTGGATGAAAAACTTCGACTGGAACAGGCTGGATTCACGAGGAACAAGTTATAGATCGATCAAATCGCAACACCACAGATCATCATTGAACAGAGCTTGGAATGGCAGTCACCTCTGTATCTCAAATTCATTGACTTTGAAAAGGCCTTCAGTGGACAGTGTCAATCGAGAGGTGATTTGGAAACTACTTCGCTATTGTGGGGTGCCATCGACATTTATACATCTCATCCAGCAGTTGTACGACAATGCTGCGTGCCAAGTAATCCACAACGGGAAACTCATGGAATCCTTGAAAGTGAAGACGGGAGTAAGACAAGCTGGTTGCCTACTATCTCTAATGATTTTCCTGATTGTGGTAGACTGGATAATGCGACAGACAGCGGGTAGCAAGGAGACTTGGACAAAACGGACCCTCAAAAGAGACCTGGAGGATCTGGACTTCACCGATGATATATGTCTGATTTCCCCCAAACTGAAAGATGTGCAATTGAAAAGCAACAGGTTGGCAGAAGAAGCACCAAAGAAAAGATTTCACTTCAGGTGAGTATATGGAAAACAGAGGTGATGAAGATTCCTAGTCAACAGCAACAGTAACAGCAACAACAACGGACAACAATCAGCATAAATGGGAGGAATCTGAAAGAAGCAACCTCCTTTACCTACCCACCTACCTGGGAAGCATCGTTTCAACTACAGGCTGACGAAACTGATAAAGATATCAAAGCGAGGGTCGGGAAAGCAAGACAAGGTTTCATTACTTTCAGGTCTGTATGGAGGTCAACAAAACTCAGCATTGAAAATAAGATCCGGATTTTCAACTCCAATGCTAAGTCTGTGCTACTATACGGATCAGAGACTTGGCGTGTCACGAAGGGCACTTCAAACAAACTACACATCTTCATCAGCAGCTGTCTTCGCTCAATACTCAAGATCAAATGGCCGGAAATGATCAGCAACAGAGATCTCTGGGAGCAAACCAACTCGGCAGGAACCGATTGTGCAACAAATAAGCGGGAAAAAATGGAGGTGGAATGGCCATACTCTGAGAAAACAAACCATCAAGTGAGTGACATCATACGCCAGGCCATCGTCCGAGTGGAACCCGACGGAATGGGAAGCGGTGAGTTGATCGTCAATTTGAGGGTGGGGTGACATGGAGGAGGTTATGTGTAGAGGAGATGAAAGCATGTGGGCAGACCTGGAGCCAGGTGAAAACGTTGACAGAGAATCGAACGCAATAGAGACGTGCAGCTGAAGCTCTGTGTTCCTCTAGGAATTAAAGGAAACAATAGTAATAATAATAATACCAGCCTTATTTAACGCAATATGTCTAATTGCTCAATAAATCAGTGCACCATCTGACTTGTAAGTACTGATAACAAAACACAAATAAAAAAGACTCAAGTATTCAGAAATGCACTCTAATGAGCAGTTTATTTAAATAGACTAAAATATTAAGGTTATTCAGGGAAAAGATTTCGCGACTTATCTCGCTAATATGGCTTCATTACTGACTCTGAGGAATATGTGCATGCTAAAACACCAAGGCGGAGGATTGTGTGTGTGTGTGTGTGTGTAAAGTGGTGTCCAAGCTTGGTCAGAGGATATTTACTCGTTAAAGCAAAACTTAGGAAACACCCCTAACACATTCACAGGGCTATTAGACGTTTATTATTTCTAATATATAAAGCTGATCCAGTTTGTGATCAGTTAATTTTAGCCCTAAGCTTATTTTGATCCCATGGTATGGTGCATTGCACATCTTTATTGTGACTGTAATAAAAAAGCTTTTGAATACTTGGCTAAACGGATATTCTCAGTTTATTTGTAAAAATCATTCCTGTAAAAGACAAATTTATTATCGATCACTAGAAACAAAGAAGAGAGAGAGCGAGAGAGAGGGAGAGAGAGTATAAAATCATTCAAGAGAATAGTTAACTACCGGTGCACTGCACTGTAATCATTAGCCATTGATATTAGTTAGATGAATAATCACACTTTGCTTTCTTATCTCATAAAGTTATCCATATTTCTCTCTTCTAAGGGTAATATAGAATTGACCAGTAATCAATATCAGACAACAGTTTACAACAGACTAATTGATAAGTGATTACAACTCACAATAGAAATTATTCTTATACACATTGAATAATAATAATAGTTTAGTGTCAAAGGAAAAACTTGGTCAGTGTGATGACTACTCTTTGGAAAAAAACTTGTAATGAAAACTGACTATTTTGTAGGTTTTAGTGCTTTATACGATCTAGTTTATATTAAGGATTGTATAATTAGTCAGCTTTTCTTCATGTAATTGATTTGACTTGATTCCATAGTATAGGAAAGTATACAACAGGGATTTCATCATGAGCTGACATTAGTTAGAGAACCATCGGAAAACCTGGGAGTATTGGACAGCTATTTCGTCCTAGTTTGGGACTCTTCATCAGTACGCACCCACCGGGATTCGAACCCAGGACCATCTGGTTACAAGGTGAGCTAGTATACCATTAAGCCACTGGGACCTAATCCAATGGCCCATGAATTATAACTTCTGCCAATTCACCACATAGCGCGACTGCTAGTCAATATCATCTGTGGCGAGTGTTTTTCCTCACACCCGACCTGCTGCACCCTACTGGTCACGACTTCTCACTAGAACCCCAGGTAACTACCTACCTGAATAGGGAAAGTCGCCAGTGAGCATCTCATTGATAGTCAAGTGTTGGTATGTGGGGATTTGATTGATTGGTTACAAGATTTCATCATGAGCTGATGTGGAGAATTAGCAGAAGTTAGAGTTCATGGGCCATTGGATCAGGTCCCAGTGGCTTAATGGTATACTAGCTCGCCTTGTAACCAGATGGTCCTGGGTTCGAACCCTGGTGGATACATGGTGATGAAGAGTCCCAAACTAGGACGAAATAGCTGTCCAATACTCCCAGGTTTTCCGATGGTTCTCTAACTAATGTCAGCTCATGATGAAACCCTGTAACCAATCAAATCCATACAAACTAACACTTGAATTCAACAATGAAATAATTAGAACTATTTATAATGATAACGATCACT